TTTCATGGTATGGGGGCTTTATTGAGGAAATAGCTTCACACCCATTGAGGCACATCTACCATAGCAGCTCAGAATACATAATCTGAGTCGCTGTAAATGTAACTTTTTTCTCTTACTCAGCTGGAATGCCTTTGTGTTACAGTTCCACCAGCTGTGCAGAGGAAGACTAAGGTATTATAGCTATTTCCAATGTGATTTTGTGGCCCTTTGTCTGTTGGCTGTTGTATTTCTGTATAGGAGGCCACATTTTCATTTTCTCCCTTGTGGTAGCATTCAGTCTTGTATAGAGTTGTGCCAGTCTTTTTTTAAGGTGCATGGGAGCCTTTTTCAGCCATTTCAGCAGTCATGTAGCAAATGGTCAGAGGTGGATATTCCAAAATTTAGTTTCAGCCATTTTGATAATATATGACTGCTTCATAGTGTTGGAAATGTAGAATTTCACACTGGGTAAAAAAAAAAAAAGAAAGCTTATGATCCCAGAAAAGCAAACACTGCGTGGTTTGTTTACTTTCAAAAGGTAATGCCTCAACATGGGCCTTTTGGAAAAAAAAAAATGCAAAAAGTTTCCTTGTTAAAACTTAAATAAAAAATATGTTGTTTTAAAATACTCTTGATATATATATATATATATCAAGAGTATTTTAAAACAACATATTTTTTATTTAAGTTTTAACAAGGAAACTTTTTGCATTTTTTTTTTTCCAAAAGGCCCATGTTGAGGCATTACCTTTTGAAAGTAAACAAACCACGCAGTGTTTGCTTTTCTGGGATCATAAGCTTTCTTTTTTTTTTTTTACCCAGCATTAGATATTTATTGCATGTTTTCATGCTAAAAGTTTGTAAACTAAGTGTATTTGTACTTGCTATGCATAAATGTGTACTCTAAAAAAATGCCATCATGTTTAAGTTGAACTTTTTAGTCTTTTACAGTCAAAACAGGTGAATGAAAAATACAGACTGATATAATGATAAGGTTATGCTCACCTCATTTATAAGTTCACTGTAGGTCAGTAGGTTTTTATTGGAAAAAGGATAGAAAACCGTCATAATAAGATCTTTAATAAAACAAGTCTTATTTCATTCTTATTTCTCATCACAATGTGTTCACCAACATTGCTGAATTTAAAAAAAAAAACTCAGATCACAAAACTAGTAGATTTGGTGATACTTTAATTAACTTTCAGGGTTCAGTTGGCCACACAGCATGCATCTTATACAATGGATGGCATGAACCAATATGACAATAACTGGTCATAAAAGGTGAGAGATGGAATCCATTGGTTAAACATCAGGATATTCCTCCTTTAATCTCAGCTGGTTTAACCTAATCTATGCAGGTCATACAGCCTTAGTTCAGATAATGAGCGGAAGAGATGCCTATCACTCTAGGTCAGAGTTATGTCATGCACAACACAGCTGACTGCTGACTTTTCAATCTGTTGGAATGAAGTCATGCAAATGCAGCTGACTCCTGTTTGCACTATCACCGCACTAAAACTACTCTAGACCCTTGAGCAAAGAAGCAGAGCATGGGGGAAAGAGAGATACATCTAAAAGCCCTGTAGATCAGAGAAAGGCCGCTGGGTGCCATGTTTGGAGTCTTCTTGTCACAGCGTTTTGGAGACTGTTGCAGCATTAGAACATTATTATTAACTTTTACATTTGAAAAATTTGAAAACAGCTGATAATACAGCATGATGCTAATAGCTAGTTGCTCTATGTCATTTTTTAAATGTCTCTTTGAGAGGTAAATAACTGTTCAGCCCTAAACCAGTTTTTTTTAATGCATATGTAGATGTTTTATAGTACTGTCTACATGTACATTAACTACAAACTTATTAAAAAACATGCTTTTGTGTAGAAATATGTCTGTTTGTGCCTGCCTGATGTTACAAAGGGGTTACTGCGTCTGTTTCTTGCTATTCGCTCAGCCACGGATGTGATGTAATTTAAGAAAACTGAGATTAGCTGCTCCACCTTTGGCAGAAGATCTCTGCTGACTTGCACCTCCAAAATATTGTGGCTGGTTTCGGGATGGAGAAAAAACTAAATTGCTCCCTTTAGGACTGAAAATGAAAATAGATAACGTCTATAGATGAAAAAAACTCTACAGAAAACACATTAAACTTTGATGAAAATTGAAATCTGCATCATTTATATCATGGTTTTATCAAGAGCTCAGACCCACATGCAGAGAAACCAATTCAGAGAGACCGGGGGGGGGGG